TGGAGAACGTCAAAAAGATATTTTGAGAATGTGCGATAAGACAAGATACTTTTGAGGCATTCTCACGGTTACTTTCTTTAAAAAATTAACAAGTTTATAGATATTATCTGTGTCGTGATTGTTAAATGTATTTCATGAATATTGTAGTTTACACTTCATCAGGATCAAAAGCAACCTGATAAAACAAGATATTTGATTGATAATGCTTAACCAGAAATGCGTCTTAAATGAATGCGAACATTCAAACTCTCGCACGTTTTTCTGGAAAACAAAATCTTGTAAAAGTTTTCCTTTTACATTTTTGACTTAGAGCTCAGACGCAGTGAAAGAAACAGAAAATTAAAAATTGGAATTGGGAATAAAAAAAAGAAATACATTTTGATATTGTTTTGATATTGTTACGATAACGACATAGCTAAAGAAATGTTCATTTTTGAGTTGTGTTTGAAAAAAGACGGGTTTCTGGAGTTTTTATTATTAGAATGATTCTAAAACTCGCTTCTAAAATTTCTAATTTTGCATCAAAAGTGTCACAAGCAAAAAGGATTGTTTCTAAGAATTTATGATAGGTAAGAATTTAATACATTGAACGAACAGCTAATGATGCTTTTATTCAAAAAGATTAATATATTTACGAATATTATTCGTGTTATAATACATTTAAATGTCAACATTTTGAGAATATTACATATTTTCATTTTTCTGTAATTAGTTATTATATTAGAAAATCACATTCGAAAATAATATAAAATTTTAATAATTCGAAACATTCAAATTTATTTTCTAAAACCTTGTTCTTTGAGATTATGTCATTGTAGTAAATGATGTAGAAATCTATATTTCAACACACAATTAAGAAATACCAAAATGTTTTTTCATTAGTCGAAAATAATTTTCTAATTAACTTTCTAATTCTTCATATTTAATTTCTTAGTTTTTATTCCTCCAGTTCCTATTTATTGTGTCTGATTTCTTATTGTTTCATATAGAATCATTCGCTATTCGTTTGTATCTAATTCTGGAACGTCATATATATATATATATATATATATATATATATATATATATATATATTT